AACGTCAATGGCGTCGGTGGGTCATGTGCATCCAATTGAGGAGTAGGACTTCCATCTTCCTCGCCAATTGGAATTTGGTCTCTTGTTTCTTCCTCTATCACATAATCGATTGGCACCTTTATCCATTCTGGTTTTGTCATGAGTTCACAGTCTTGGGCCACAACCCAATTCCATTTGACCTTTTCTTCGAAAACGACATCCTGAGTCACCACCACTTTGTTCTCTCTAGGATTAATCATGCGATAAGCTTTACTCCCTGGTTCAACACCCAAATACACCATTGTTGTGCTACGATTACTGAGTTTCGTGGACTGATTTGCCGGTTTCTTTACGTGTCCGACACACCCGAACACCTTCAAGTGCTGAAGTGTGGGTTTCCTTCCCTTCCAACCTTCGTACGGAGTCATATCCTTCACCCCCTTAGTTGGAGTTCGATTCAAGATATAAACTGCATGTCGAACTGCTTCTCCCCACAATGTATCTGGTACATTCATTGTTTTTAACAATGACCTCGTGGCTTCGAGAATGGTGCGATTACGACGTTCCACCACACCGTTTGGTTGTGGAGAGTAAGGAGTTGTTAGTTGTCTGTTAATCCCTTCTTGTTTACAAAAATTAGCAAATTGTTGGGAGTTCAACTCCCCCCTCGATCGGTCCGTAAAGCTTTCAACTTCAAGGGACTTTCATTCTCAATGTGTGCCTTGAACCTTTTTGAAAATTGTGAAAGCTTCATCTTTCGACTTGATCATGAAAACCCACATATATCGGCTATAATCATCAACAATTAACATAAAATAGCGATTACCCGCCATGGATGACGGGGAGATTGGACCACATAAATCAGCGTGCACCAATTCAAGAGGCTTACTTCCTGCCACTGTGCTTCTTTCGGAAAAGGTTGTCGAGTTTGCTTCGCAACCATACACCCCCCCCCCCCCCAAAGCAGACTGGAAAGGGTCAGGTGTGGGCTGTCGAGAGGTTTTTGGGCTGAGGCATTAAACACGGTTTGTTACCGATGAATAGGTCTCCGACAATAGCAATTGGTTGTAAAACCCCTATTGAAATGTGGTTTGGTAAGCCAGCTGATTACACGAATTTACGGGTGTTTGGTTGTCCTTCATACTACCATCTCTAGTAATTTCTTAACATTTACTTTTTATTTATTTCCCCTATTGTTGCATACAAAACATACTATTTGTTTTCCGGTTAATGTAAGTGGATCCGGACACTTCCAACCATTGTACGCCTAGAATTACATCCGAGTTTCCTAGGTTAATGGGAAAAAGTTCCTTCATGATTTTCAGCCCCTGAAGGAAGAGTTTATACCCCCCCCCCCTTTTCAGACATACCCCTTTCCCAGTAGTGATATCCCATGTTCCCACAGTTATTCCATAATTTTCAGTAGTCTCCATGGGTAAACGCATCTTATCTACTAAGGCGATGAAAGTAAAATTGTGGGTTGTACAACTATTAATGAGCACCACAATTTGTTGTCCTTGGATGGACTCCACTAACTTCATTGTTTTAGGATTAGTAAAACTATAAAACTAACCCCTAAATTTAAGTGTACCTCTACTCTCTGTTTCATCTCACCAAGCTCCATTTTGTTTGGTTCAGCTTACTGCTCCATGGTATTGGCTTCACCTTTGTAGTCATGTAAAATGAAACATCGACTTTTTTTCTCTTGCATTTGTGACTAAAGGCATACTTATTATATCACGTCAGTAACATAGACCTTGTGACCTTTGTTGCTGTAATTCAATGTTTGACAGTCTTGATACTCCATGCCTCCTTTGGTTGCTCTCCCCACCATTTTGTCAGTACCTGGTGCTTTTGTTTCCTTTGATACTATGGTAGATCTCAGCCACTTATTGGAGTACCTACTAGGGCTACTATGGTTCACCACCTTGTTCTTTCTTCCATCCTAAGATGCTATTTCCATTGCTTCTCCCATGCTCACTGGAGAGAGTAACCTCAACTCTGCCCTAATGCCCGTGTTTAAGCCATTTATAAATTGATTTCGAAAAACCTCTTTTGAAAATACCATCTAAGGGAGTGGCCAGAGAAACAAATTGCTTTTTGTACGCACCATGCCCAACTGCCTTGCTATGCTGTTATAGTGGTGAAAATAAAAAATTGCCGTCCGTACCGGTATTTGAAATAGCGGTTATAGCGGTGGTATAGCGGTCCAAAAATAGCGGTTCATATAATATTTCTTAGAATTTTATTTATATATATATATATATATATATAATATGTATGCATACATAAAAATATCATATGCATTAATTAAAAATATAGTTTCAACATCAAAACATCAACTTAAAATAAGTTTCACAAAATAAAATAGGAAAATTGTTCATAAACGAGCTAATCGCAAGCAATAGGTTCAACATCCGAGTCAACGTTATCTAATACATTCATTTCTTCATTTAGGCTAGCTTCCCAATCTTCCCTTCATCTCCAATGTGATCATCATCATCATCCCTATAGCGCTCCCTTTTACTTCTTGTACTTGGCCCAACTTGTTCTAAAGAGGTCCAAGCTAAAATATCAGAATATCAGTTCGCAATTTCACCTCAAATATCGTCAACTGCGCCGCTAATATCGGAAACGCAATTTTCGCTGCAATTGGACCACTAGAATTTTACTTATAGTCCGCAATCCGCAATTGACAGCATAGCTGCCTTGTTGCTCTAAAATTGTTCACAGAGTGCTCCCTTGCCATAGAATGGAGTTGTTTTAAAATCATTGGTTTTAACCCCTCCCATCACGTTATTGGGCATCGTTTATGTTCCCGTTGGAACCATCTGTGAGCGTCTTCTTTAAAGGCAATAATAGCAACTTCAATTTGTTCATTCATAGTCAAATGGTTGAGGGAGAAGTATCTCTAAGCATGTAAAACCCAACCAATAGGTCGCCTCCATTAAAGATTGGAATTTCTAATTTTCGCTCTTTCAACGCAAAGAAACTGTCCGTCTCCGTTGACCAACCTTTTCGTTTTCTTGACCGTCACTATTTAATGGACCTTCACCTTCGTAGGGTTGTTCATAAAGTTGCTTATCCTGGCTTCCATTTGCTTCCTTCTGCGATTTGATCAACCATTTCAATTGCTTCATCACTTTTTGCATGTCTTCCTTTAACAAATCCACATCTTTTTTTTACATAGTTCATCCTACCCTCCAATTCTTCTACTTGCAAGGCTATGTTTTTGGTCATCTTAGGTTTGTTTCACTCTTGTATCAATTTGATGTATTCGACAATCAGAATTAGTATATTGCAGAGATAAGTATGTATTCAGTCACTCAAAATTCAATTGTTACAATCGGGTACCAGCTTTCAAGAGGCTAGTGCTCCCCCCAAGCTAACGTCTATGAAGTACGTCTAAACAGAATGCTATTCCCTCTCTCCAGGCTTCTTTCTATTTAACCCCTCTAACAACTACTAACAGCTTGATTATCCCCCCTCCCTTGCATTTACTATTTATTTACTCCCCCTATATTGCATATAAAACACACTAACTCCCCCTTTCTATTTCTTGTTGTTACGTCAGACATAAGTAATTTGAATGGCCCGTTTATCACAAGTGTCATCCGTGTGAAGCCACTCATACTTTGTGTTTATTCGTAATCTTCCTTTTTCTCTTCGCCACATGTACCACCTTATCCTTATCACTAGTTGTCGTGGCCTTAGTGTCATTTCCAGTGTAATTTTTATGAGGGTGGTCCAATCAACCCCCTTTCTTGTCTCAATTGCTCAGTATTCAAGGTTAACTTTCCTGATTGAGATAAAGTATGTATCACTATCACCTGCACTCCAATTTCCCAAAGGGCTCCTCTTTGACCTTCGACTACTTGGGATACCGGCTGCCCTTCTTTCTCGTGCAAATCATTTCATGTTGCTAACCTAGTGAAATCTGTGTACTACTTGTGTGTGTGACCTTTATAACATCTTTGGTACTGCTGAAATTATATCTGCTCATAAGCCTCTGTGGAAGGAACCTGCGGATCAATAATCGTCTCAGTCTTACCTGTTTTCGAACCAGGGTTTTGCCTTCAGAGATTCTTCTATACTGCAGTCATTCCCACCCAGCAGAAGCATCACCTTTGAGCTTGCACCCAACCTATACAGTTAATAGCCGCTATAGTGGAGAAATAGCGGATAGCGGTCCTGGCCAAAATAGCTGTGTATTATAGCGGTACCGCAAATAGCGGCCGCTATTACCGCTATGGACCGCAATTTTGATACCAAATAGCGTTTGCTATTACCGAATTTTCTTTTTGGGCTCTTTTGGACTCCTTTTTTTTTAATATAAATTCTATTTGGGCTTTTGTTGTGTCATTTATATGGGCTATTTAGAGACAAACTTAGGCCTGCAAACAAAATGGAAATGGATTAAATCAAAAATAGAAACAATTAGGTCAAACTTTGGTATCAATTCCAAGTCCAAAGCTATGCTCATTGTTCCAAGTCCAAAAAGCCTCAATAGCTCGAGTTCTCTTCTCGATTCCACGGTTCCATGGGTTTTCTATTGGAGTTTTCTTCTCGAGTTTTATCCTCTTCTCGGCAGCACAGCTCCTATTACTATGTTGCTTATGTGGTTTCAATTGTTTGACTTGATATGTATTAGACATACAATATTTTAAGTTTTGTATATATTCGTATGAAATTTTTATGAACTAAGTTTTTTTCCCGGTATATCACCCGATAACCGCTATTTTAAATAAAGGTCCCGACCGCTATTTCCACAATGGACCGCGTTAACTGCTTAGTACCCAACCAACTCAACATGCTTTTCTATTGGGACCACCATATATTCAAAGAAGTGGTCCACAGCTCCTCTTCTAATAGGTGCATTCATAGGCTATGCTGAAGATGTCCAAACCTTCTCAAACTGTGTTACCTTTGCTTCTCCTCTACCATTGTCACTCAAACCTTTCTCTTTTATATCCTTGTTCCTAAGTCATCCAAGTTTGTTTTCTTATTTTTGCGTATATCAGTGTGAACCCGATGCAAATAGGGATGCATTGAATTTGCTCGAGGAAGTATTGACGGTTCATAGGTTCAAGGAACTGCACTTCTGTACATGAGGAAACACGAGCATCACCATGTGATATCAATGAGTTGAAGTTCAAAATGTGCTTTCTTCCAATAACTCGATCTGTAAAATGGCAAATACTTCCATTGACAAAACTCTCATGGTAGTTGGTCAACTTTTGGGCACTGAAAGCATACCAAAGGAACTTGATGGAATCTTCTTGGAGCTTGTTATTGTTATTTTCCAAGTTGTGGAACATAAAAGCTTTGCTCATTCTTTTGTGGAATGTTGTACCCTTTATAAAGTTCCTTTCACGACATGCAGATTTTTAACTGTAAATAAGTGTTGTTTTTAGTGTGTATTCTTTTCCAGAAGGCACCCTTACCAAGTCAATGTACCAATTTTATCACTTTCTTTCATGATAGCCTTAGTAACATACTTTTTTCGCAGTTGGATGAGTTGGCCAACAATATCAATGACTGCCAATAGACACACTAGCTTCTGACTTGTTGGTAATTGTGCCACAAAAACCCACGACACAACAAGCCAGTACTTCCTAAAATCGCAACTTTTTCCAGGCTACAGAAATAAAATGGCTGACTATACCTGTATATATTAATGTGAAACCAAGCAAAATCATTGCTAAACCACTGAACAAATGACATTTAAAGCTAACTGGGGACATTGTTTTTATGCCTTTAGCCTGCCTGCCATATTCCATGATCCAACTAATTAGTTTGTACTGATAAAATTTTTGAACCGATCATTTTATTAATGTCAAAATCTCTTTGTTTTTTGGTATTAAGACTTGGCCACGATTTATGATCAGGCAGAAATAGGAGGCTCACTGCAGGCTTTTCTAGCGTAGTTTCCACAGAACAATTTAACAAATGATCCAACTAATCAAGTGATCTTGAAAGTTCTCTTATTTTAGATGTCCCTACTGTATGATGCAGACCCCTTTTCACCTTGTTTTGGGAATCCAGGGATCTTTTCATATGCACATTCCATGTTTCATTTTGAACTTCTGTTTACTGACTTCATTATCATGTAAATTGTTAGTGACCATATTAGAACACCATAGCTTCAAGCATATGCTTATTTGATAGCATAAAGAACTGTGTTCACACCATTTGCATTCTGAGAATCAGAAGATATATAGATACATATATGGGTCATTACATTCGTTGCCGATATGCTGGTACTTGGTAGCTTTTCTTGAATTCTATGTATCTTCTAGTCCACTTTGTTAAAACCTGGGAAACAAAGAAAAGGAAATAGTAAATAAAGATATGCAGTTCATATATAAGTATGTGAATTGCATATTCTTAGATAAGCTTGTTACTTATTATAACAGATTTATTAAAAAGGGTGATCTAAATGCAACAGTGTGGTGGGGGCTGGGGGGTCTCTATACTTGGCATTTCCCTTCATTTCTGTCAGATTGATGTATTCACTGTAAGAATCGCATTTCATTCTATCACTAATGTCTAAGCCCATTGTGTTTTGCTAGATTATATTGAGAATATCGAGGAAGATGCCAAACGTAATTTGCATACAAACACTTCCCTTCTCCTCTCAGTGAACTTTGGAACATTTGTGCATTAGCATCACCGTTTCTATAAATAATACCCTATATCAACAGTGGCTCTTGATGTTTACCATTAACTTACTTTCTCTATCATGGAGAAGAAGAGTACTTCTGATTATGGAAATTCGAACCTTCTACTTTCCAATTATTTAAATTGATTTTTATGTTCTTAGTTTTTTAAAATTTGAACATAATTTCTTGATCCAGTACACATTGTTATAGTTCAATGTGATACTCATTTTATAATCTACAACCAAAATCTTTTAACCTGTGACACAGGCCGAATATTAAGAAATCATATTTTGATTATTTTTCACACAGGCCGAATATTATTTATAGTAATTGAATTCATGTGTCAGCACTTTTTAAATCATAACCTTATGATAGATATGATGTTACATAATGACCTGTTATATTTAAAGCTTGCTTAGAAACATGTGCTTTATGACAACCATTGGATGGCCAAAAGTGGTGCTTATGTGAAGAAATTTATCTAGTAAGTAGTGTATAGTTGCAGCTGACTATGTTAAGCTTTTTTTGTAAAGAAAAGCACCAAAAGAGATGCAAATATTGCTTAAATAGTTGGAAACCGGAAAGGCTTTTGTTGCTTAAATAGCTGAATAAAGGAGAAAGTTCTGTTTTCTAACACAAAGGATTATACCATCCCCCCACCCTCTCCTTCCAAATACCCCACCTCCGGGTCGAATATACTGTGCTTGTGGGGTTTGCTTTTCAAAAAGGCCTATTTTGTTTTTGACAAACGAAAAGCCAAAAGGATCACTTGATTTGACACGAAGAGAGTTGTAGATATTTTGTTCTACTTTTTGGCCTTGAACCTCATGAGAAGTATGCCAGGAAGCTTCCTAAATGAAAAGTGAACTTTGGTAGCCATTTTTTAACTTTTTTTCTTATTTGATTAAACCACGCAATATTAAACTGTTAATTTACCATAGCAATTTCGTACCATCTTCTAAATTCATAAAAAAGACGGACTGAATGACTGCTTAATGTGTTTGTGTTTGAAGTTATCTACTGCATTGATGTTAAGTTCTTGTATTTTTCTTTATCTGATCTTCCTAACCTGTGAATGACTTAAAAGCGAACTGCATTTCATCTCTCACATTAGTGGTCCAATACCCAAATCACAACGAACATCCATAATTGGAAATTCTAAGTGCCGATTTTAAGTTTAAAAAGAATAGGATGACCTTGATGCACCAAGGCTGTGTGACCTTCCAAGGTTTGGATAGAAGTCATGTATCTTGTCTTTCTGCATCTTAGTTCGTTACTCCAACTTGTGACTTTCTAGTCTCAAATGAGTAACCTTAGTAGTTGTTTCAAGGCTTGCACCCCTACCCTTGAAAAAGGTAAATGATGACATTAAAAAATAATAATATTAAAAAGGACTGAGAGGGAATACCAAAATTCACTTTATAAACCACTTTCCTCTATTATATGTAAAATAAAATATAAAAATAGTGCCAAGCCGACTTTTGGGAATGTGTTGATTGTAACGTTGTACGGATTTTTCATGATGGAAGTGGATGGTGTTTGGTTAAATGGGGTACATATAATTTGTTTGGCATAATCAGCCCTAAATTATGCAGAAATTTAGTGATTACCAATTGATGGAAAGTGATTGAGCCTTTTCTTGTAATGTAGTGTGCTAATGAGTAGGCACAAAGTTTAAAGGTTGTTTGTTATCTGTAGCTGTAGGTGGTGCAACTGCAACCAAAATTAAACACGTAACTAATTGATAAACTTCCTTTCTTGTGTTCAATTTTCTCCCGGATTGGAAGTAAGTGCGATATTTGATTTTAAATTGACTTTCTGTTGGACATGAATTGGAGCCACTTCATGTGATATTTGATCCATTCACAATCTTGCTTACAGAACTAGAGAAATGCACATGACTTTTGACAAGGACATAACTGATTAGGATGTGAAAGAAAATCCTCTAAGCAAACGGAGTGATGTATGCTCATCATTTAATGCTAAACTCTTGGTTTTTGTTTATTATTAACTTCAAATAGACTAGTTTGTTGGATCACACACAATGAATTGTGCTACTAAAAGTTGTATCCTAACACGCAAAATACACAGCTCATTGGGTGGACCTTGGTTTGACACATGAACTCATTATAAAACTTATATTTAATTCGTAATAACTTGTGGAATTTGACACGATTCTGCTTCTGAAGCCCTATCCTCACAAAACATAGGGCTGCTGGTTGGACCTACAAGGGGTTTGTGTTTGGAATGAGTAGCGTTCTGCAAACACAATTTACCATGTTGGTTTCTACAAATGCTTGGTTATCTGCTTGTACTTATTTCATGAATCTCTCCATATGTTTCATCCACTCATCATAGGGACGCAAATTTACATATGATTTACCACCTCAAATTTGATATTCATAAGAATTTTCACTCTAAAAATTTCAGATATTAATGTTATCAACTTTGTCAAAAAAACTGATAAAAACTTTTACCATGCGACCCCCCCTCCTTGCCCTCTTCTCTCCTTGTTACAATTTTTTTATTACTTTGTAGGTGCAAGCTCAAATTGCAAGAGTGAGGCGGCAGTTAAGCTTAATCGATGGCCAACATCAACAGTCAAAACCACCCACTGAGCTATGAAATGTACATTACTTTCCCTTCTAATCCGGAAATTTTTCACTTGCAAAAGGCTCAACTAGATAAATCCGTAATGCACCCCCAATCCCAACCCCGCTTTATTGTTGTACTTCTTTTACCGTTATTTTAGAAGAGGCGACCAACAGCATTGTAATTCCATTGAACAGATACAGTTTATGTGAAAAGATAGCTTTTTTGTTTTAAAAGTTCATGCTCAGTTGTGAGATTTTCTGCTTGTGGATTTATATTCCTTAATCCCTGTCAAAAGCTAGATGATGGATTCCCTAAAAAGGGCATGTGGATAAAAAGGATATATCATTTTCTTGGCATATTCTGTACTTTTGATTCTTTTTTATACACACAAGTGATCAATATAAAAAAAGCTTGCTGCTTTATTTTCTTCGCAACTACAGTGATGGTAGCTGAACTAATTCCCCAAGGTACAGTTTTTTTCGGTTTAGTACTTTCTAACGGTCAAATCATTTCCATGTGCCTTCTGTTCCATCACTTTTGATGCTTCTTTTCCTTGAGATTTTGCAGGTAATGACGAAGATTTTGGTTTCTTGATCTGTCTAGCATCATGCATGTGCTCTAAAAAGAAAAGGCATCATCCCATAATTCATTATGTTTGTTACCGTCTTTGTAAATTTTCATTGCTGTGTATAATTTACCAAGTTCGTAGAAGCAGCTGTGTCCTTAAAACCCACAAGAAATATGCTACATACTACATTGTTTTACATAATGGTGTAGGGGAGATGGGCTGGCTCATGAGAGCCTGTGAATCGGCTCGTCAAAATGCTTGGCATGCCCAAGTGCAGTTTATTTGACTATTCTGAACCGAGGTAAAGCTTATATGAGCCAAGTAGTATATTTATACTTTCTGAACATCATTACTCTTAGTCAGAAGTCTGTACGGAAACAACCACTCTACGCTTCGTGGTAGAGGTCAGATCTGCGTATTCTCTCACCTTCCCGGCTTCCCCTGACCCCACCTCCGCATGGGACATGTTGGTGGTTTGTTTGGTTTGGTGTATTACTCTTAGGGGCTGTTTGGATGGTTGTCTTTTAAGTCATGTATGGATAAAGTTGTCTCT